AAATCAGTGAATGGTCCAATTATTCAAAGAGTAGTCAAGCCTATGTCATGACCATAAATTACGCCAACAAAACACGATTGAAAGAAATTATGCTGAATAATAATAGTCATCAAGTTGCCGAAAAAGATATCGCTGGTTGGCAAACGTATCGTCATGTCTCTCAACTAGCTATAGCGCCATCTCTTGATTACTAGAACCCTTCGAGATGGTTGTGTACCAATGTAAAACACATGGATGGCATAATGACCAAGACTCTAATTGTAGCGATTTATTATATATCAGTCTTTTTTTCATTTCGTCGCAAAATAGCTCATAATACTTGCTGAAAATTTACGAAGAGACAAGGTCACGTTGATTGTTTGTTATTGAAAGTATTTTTTTAATTTTTTAATTGAGGGGGGAGGGGGGGGGGGAGTATTTCTTCCATAGGGCCCTTTACAGATGCCAGCTATAATAGAAAAACACATTCAGATTCTCACATTCTCATCGTCAGATGTGGACGTAGGTTTCTCCAAAACATTAATGAACCTATTTTCATACCGTAATCACATCATTACTGCAATGTTCATTTCAGTAGTAATATATTTGACGATCGCCAGTGTTTTCTATTCTATATTATAATGGATCCATTTAGTTTTTTCTTTGATTTACTGTTGTTACGTGGATATAAATGTCTCTATATAATGTTGTATGTATTATGTTTATGATGAATGTAAAAAACTAATAATTAGATCGATCAAACTTATCAAATGTAAACCAAAAAAATATACCAATGAATCATATAATTAATTTTCTAGGAGTATTTGACTTTGATATGAAATTTGTTTTAATCATAAAGAGGAAAAGAGAGAAACTTCAGAAAGCTTTAGAGTTTGAGGAAAATCCAAAAAAGGACACTAAACATAAGGTGCAAACTTTGTGATTGCACTTGCACTATAATATTAAATAATTATGTCAAGTTCAGTTATAGTTGGTTTTGTCTTCTTTGTCTTTTTTTGGGGGGGGGGAGGGGGGGGGGGGGGGGGAGGGGGTTGTTTTCTTTTGCTTTTTCTTCTTTTTTTTAAAAATTATCATTTGTTTTGGTTTGATTTATTTTGTTATTTTTGTTATATTTTATTTGCCTGTTTTGTTTTTAGAAGCATCATGGGTATTTTCAGAAGCGTATAAACTAGAGAGAGCTCTGGGAATCCGTACCCAAGCTCATCCCTTCCAGCAATCGCATATCAAACTCCTACTGATTAGTCATGGAGAGAGCATGCAGCATAAGCTCATCGGAGTACCAAGATATAGTGATAAGTATTAACGCCTGCTATACAGACACCGCATCCTATTATCGTCTTTATACAATAGTCAATGATGGATACGGGGGCGTGGCATCTCCGCGGTCAGTACAAACAAAAGAACAAACGAAACAAAGAAACAGACAGCTGTAAAACAGATAGAAACAGAACAACTACCATCAAGTTCCATGTTGAATGTTTCATGCGAAGTAAGGTTGAAAGAGATTATTTGTACCCCCCCCCCCCCAACAAAGAAAAGGTCTCTATTAAAAACACGATAATTATTAGTTTATCACAGTGTTGTTGGAGCGGATAACTCACCTGTTATTTATTTATATTTTTTTCTTTCGAATTACATTTTACTACAGTTTCTTACAATAGCACCTGTTCAATTAATAAACTTATTATCAACCATTTTTAGATGAGAGCATCTCATTACAAACATTGATTGTTGCTATATGTCATGCAATTTTAGGGCAATATTTCGGACCATCGAGTCGATTAATATTACCTCCGCCGGAAAAAGTTGGCATTTTTAGGCTTAGTTGCTCAAAGATACTTCTTGACCTTATGTATCTCATCACTATTGTCTTATTTTTCACTAATAACGATTAAAAAATATATATTTACAATGTCATGCTTATCTTAGGTTTAGTGACTAACTTTAAACGTTAAATAAATGATACTATTCTGAAGAACCTTTAAATTGATAAACTTGGCAATTTCACCCCTCCCTCCCCCTCAATTAAAAAAAAAATCAACATGATTTTGTGTCTACACAAAACCTGTAATATTTCATAGAACTTGAAGTTCGCTTATTAATTTCAAGACATTGGTATGATTCAAAACAATTTAAAACTTAAATCCATCTTTCTCCGATGGAGATCCTATACGTTTAAAGAACTGTTTTTCACAGGGTCGACTACTTTAATGTATAGTTCAGATTGCTGTATCTCAATATGCCCTCTGAAACCAAGATGGCGAGTGGGTTAACATTTGGGTATTATTTTGCAAGATAATGGTGTGAAACTGATCACGAATTGTGATCTGAGTATTACCTTTGCGACCTCAATCAAGTATTCTCTCTGAGAAGATTAATTGCACCTGCTTTGATCTTGATGTAGACCTTGACCGATCTGGGATTTTCTGGGTTTTTTTCTCTTTCTCTCTCTTTCTCTCTCTCTCTCTCTCTCTCTCCCTCTCTCACACTTTAAAAAAAATGTATTGATTCCAAAACAACACACAATTCACTCTTAGAAATACAGTCGTTTTTCATCTTCACATGATTTTGCGAACAAGAAAAAACATACACACACACGCGCTCACACGAAGCAAACCCCAATATAGCAACCCACAAAATTCAGCCTGTCTTCTATACGGATGAAGTCCAAGGGCGGAGGGCCCCGGATGCTCTCGATGTATCTTTAGCAATTTTCTATTCACAACTTTCAAGATAGCGATATAGAAATTCGAATCCATCCCTTGAAATTCACACTGCCCGTATTGGTTTATTTCGTTTGAAAAAAAAAGTTCGTTCTCAGTCTCTTAAATGTTTTTTTTTAAAATATATTACAAAGGGTTGTATTGGGAAAACTTCTATTTTTATGGATGAGAACTTGGGCCCCGCCTTAGTTCCCCTTTCGGGTTACATGCAGGTCAGGTTCCGGGCTTATAGGGGGCGGAACCCCCGATGCTTTTGAATTTTAGCAATTCAGTATATCTTTAAGATAGTCTTGAGCGATATAAACTAATATATCCCTTAAATTTCCAGTGCGCCTGTTGCTTTATTTCGTCGGAAATCAATTATTTACACACACATACACACAAACACACACACTGTTTCTCCTTTTGATCTCTTCTCCTCTTTTACCTCCTTTTCTCTTTCTTTTCTCCCTATTTCTTTCGTCTCTCTCTCTCTCTCTCTCTCTCTCTCTCTCTCTCTCTCTCTCTCTCTCTTCCCCCTTTTTTCAGACCGTCAAGGGGGGGGGGGGGGGAATTCGGCCCTCACCTGGATCCCCCACTGTTATATTGTTCTCACAATTGTCTTGAAATATAGCAGCAAATACCTTCAACTTTAATTTTTTCTACATTAATAAATAATAGAAAAGAAGATTCATTAGTTTATCTAACAAATGAAAACACTTTATTGATTTAATCTATTAAACGAACATTCAAGAAGCTTGGGCTGGATATATAAATCTCGCGGGAAATCGTTCCCCGATAATTTCCCTTTATTTCATTATTCCTTTTCTTCTTCTTTTTTTTCGGTGGGGGGGGGGGGGGGATGGGGTGAAAAGGGCCGTCGGAGTGGCAGAAATGCTGGGGAAAGCGACTATCGGAAATTGTCATCCACAGATATTTATATATTTGGAAATTTATGGAGTTGATGATGAAGATGCTGCTTAACTATTTATGAGTATGAGGATAATGGTAATACAATAATGGGGTGGAGGTGGTGATGGTGGTGGTGATGGGGCATGGTCACGGTGGTGTGATGATGTTGGTGATGGTAGTCGTGGTTTTGTGGCGGTGTTGAAGGTGCCATGGCGGTGGTGACGGTGGCGGTGACGCTTGTGGTGCATCCGGATGCAAAATGCTGGGACTTGAAATACCATATTGACTAAATTTGTTTCTTTGATTTTTTTGAACGATCAAAATCCAATCAATGTTGGAAACATGTCTGATGTTTTAACCGGTTCAGTGCTACGGTATCAAAATGGAAAGACCTGGGGCGGTATTCTGAACCCTGTGTTATCTCTAATATTGTTGTATCTTTGAAGATAAGATAAAGTTGGTATTCTGAACATTGTTGTAACTTTTGTGTTATCTTTTGTTGTATCTTTTCTCTCATCTTATTGGCCGCGCCTGCGCTCATACTTTGGTGCGCTTGTAATTGTGCGTATTATTAATAAAGTGGCATTTAATTCTCATTTGCATATGCGCACGGGAGATAATATGTCGAGATAATTGGTATTCTGAAAGTTGTTGTATCTTTTATCTTATCTTATCTTGCATGGTATTTACAACAATATTTACAACAGGTAGGGGGTTGTTGTATCTTTCGTGGGGATATAATGGCGGCAATATTTTTTGCCCAGAACCAACTTCGTGCCAATAGACGAGTTAGAAAAAGTTTGTGTGTTGACCGGAAACATCACAGATGAGAACTTTCTAAGATATTACATGCTAGGATAGGACTATTTTAATGCTCTCATCTTAACCAATATAGTGAAAGCGTGATTTGTCTTCATGATCCACATTCAACAGCGCATAATGATGACGCGCGTAATAAGTGCTCAAATAACTAATTACGCCCAAGACTAGTATGCGCTAGGCGCATCTTCAGATATGGCATAAAGTATTCCTATTGGTTGATCTACTTATCATGCTTATATAAAATAGATTTTGATTGGTAGGGTCCATAAAAATGGGCGTGTCATCAATGGTCAAAGATAAGATAGAGGCGGTCCTTCAAGAGATAACACAGGGATAAAACAATGTTCAGAATACCAACTTACAACAATATTAGCGCTGTGTTATCTCTGGAAGATACAACAAAAGATAACACAAAACTTACAACAATGTTCAGAATACCACCCCACTGATGAGAAAGTAATTTCCCTTCTCCCCCCCCCCCCCTGAATTGCACTTGTCTAATGGATCCGGCTTACGCACTGAACGGACATGAACAAATTGTGCTGACCATTTACGTGTTGTTGATGCGAGCATCTGGTATCTTCATGCATGCAAATCGGCGCCGCCGCTGAACGAGATGTGAAAATGCTTGCGATCTTCACAGCATCATCATCTGCATGCAAGCAACATAACAGCAAGAAGAGAAGTCGGTGCTGCTGTTTTCAGTGTGCGAGCAATTCATTCAGATAAGCAAGTCTTTTGTCATCTGCAGTACATCAACACTATCAAAGGTTAAACGAGTATGGTGGTAGGGTCACTCAAGTGGAAATTACAGGTAATATAGAGGGTGAATTTCGGAGATAATAACAATGTATACGCGTCGCTCTCCGCTACCAGATCAAGGAGAGTCGAGTTCTGGTAGCTCAACTTCCGCTGCATCATCTAGCTCATCTGACCCAAGATCTCCATCCAAGCCGTCAAAAAACAGACAACCGCGACCTGAACTGTCGACCCCACTTCCCATGGAAACGATCCAATCGTTCAATGCAGCATACAATGCCGGGCCAGTTTATATCAGCGAAGGTTTAGGCAGCCCTGTTCATGGTAGAGGTTCTCCGAATTCTAGCTCCAGCGGCAAGTCAAACTCCCCCACACATAGCCGGTCTAGCAGCCTCGGCTCTACCCACGGCATGAGCAACAACTCCCCTCAGGCACAGGCGGCTATGCAAGCCGCAGTCATGGCGGGCCAGCATCATGAAGATATTCGTCATGGACATGGTGGTGGAAACAGAGACATAGTACACATGGATATACACACTCAAATAAGGGAATATCAGAGAGATAATGACAGCCTTCGTCAGGAGCTTGACAACAGGGACACTAAACTGAATTCCAGCATGAATAGTATCAAGACATTTTGGAGCCCAGAGTTGAAAAAAGAACGAGCTTTGAGGAAGGAAGAAGCAGCCAAAATACAGTCACTCAAAGAGCAATGTCGAGTAGCTGTCGAAGAAAATCAGGTAAGTTATAAAGCTGAAAGATTGAAATGAAGATTAGTATTCTAAATTTCAAAGGAAAAATAAAATCACCTCTTTTATTTTATTATAATCTTTTAATTGGTTGTTGGTTAATCTCTATGAGGAAACTTCATTGATATTTCATAGTCGATTATCTATGACTGCTAACACGTATTTTGGTTGTATGAGATTTCTTGTGAGTTGATTTTAATTTGATAAGGCGTAAGACTGATATAAAGATAGAATAGTGAGGTGATTATGTAGGACACTGTAGATTAATTCAGAGAATCTTGAAAAGAGATGTTTTGATGAATAATACTAAAAGTCTCTTCGTGTACATGTACTGTACATGTTGTATAGTGCATGTCTTTTTACTCGATGGCGTTCCTGGCCTGGTGCTTCAATATTGTTACTCTGGTTATAGCCATAACCATGCCAAAAGACGTTATTACCAGGTCGGTATACGAACTCACAACCTCACGAGTCAAGTGAATAAAATACCACCACAATACCTCCATGGCAATAACTATTCTCTAGTTGACTTAAAATACACATACCGGTACATGTACATGTATGACAATGCCATTTGTAATTGGGCCGAATCTACCTGTATGATCACAATTTAATACAGATATTCTATCTTTAGATTCTAATCTTGATCAATGTGATAGGATGGTTGATGTTAATATTATTACTCGAAGTGGGGGGAAAAAGATGCGTGAAATACAATGTACATGTAAGTCATGTAGTACAGTTTGTCCGTCTTTACCGGGTGTCATTCTCTTTCGTGTTTCCCCTCTCATTAAAAAAATACATGGTGCAAAAATCAATCAACATATTCAACGCATACTATAGTATTATATTGCATACATATTACATGTAGGCTCCATCATATGATGTAGGCTCTATCAAGTGATAGATTTTAAAAGATATATTTAAAAATAAATATGAATATAAAAAGCAGAGAAAAAGTAGATGGAGTAGAGGAAGAATGTAAGTGGGAGTGAAATTTGTTGAGCTACAGCTGGAAGTGAGCAAAGAGAAACCAGCTATTTTACAAAAGCTGGCACATACTGTACCAGTACGGAGACTATTATTTTGGAGAACGATAATTTACTTTCCATTAATGTAACCATGGTTACAACACACCAAACTCAATTTTAAGTGCTGATTATGACACCATTTCAAGTGAGTGGGATTTACAAGTAAATGTCATGCCAAACTAAACTTACTGTTCTAGTTACTGGCATTCCCTTCCCAAACACATGACATATCCTTAGTTTATAATATGGAACTGGACCCCAACTGTTTTATTATTGTAAAGTGCACTTGGTATATGACCTGAGAAGTGGAAGGTCATCCATCCCTTTGAATACCGCACATTTTCAGACCCTGTTGTCATGGTGCTATAACATTCCTGTAGTGATTCAAAAGTCAAGAATCTCCCTGTTTTGTTGGTATCCAGTCTGTTTGAAGGTTTTATTTTATGTGGAGACCTTCATAATACAAGGACATACAGTACATGTACATGTACATCTGTACTTTTAGTATCGACTTAGCAAATGTTATTTATACATCATGAATGATCATACAGTGCACACAAACAAATGTCATGTGTCCAGGTGAGATCACATTGCGATCACATTGCTACAGGATGTTCAAGAACTGCATCATTTCCTGGAGAAGAAAAGAAAGTGTCCGATCATGTATTTGTTTGATTACCGGTAAGGTATTCAAGATTGATTCCTATTTGAAAATTTGCCAAAGGATTTACCAGGTGAAACTTGGAAGGGCTAAATAAAAGAAGTCATAAAATAGTGCAAATTCTAGGTTCATGTACACCAACACATACATTGGGATGTAGACTCCTACATTTTGACTGCACGTTGGAAGGGGAGGGGCGGGCATTATTATCAACGCAGGCTGTCTTCTAGGAAGTCAGATGGGGGAAAATTGCTAAAAATGCAAAAATTCTATTTTTTGTTATGCGATTTCACATGCATTGTGTACGCAAGGAAAACAAACAATACACTAGTACATTTAAGTAGAGTAATATTGCATGTAGTCTATTATCATGTACATGTACATGTATGGACTATGGACAATAATCAATGGTCGGATCCGGCTTTGTTTTTGTTTTTTTTTGTTTTTGTGTTTTTTTTTGGGGGGGAGGAGGAGGGTAGTATTTGCATTACCCGAGTCAAAATAATACACTCCCATAACCAGTGAATTGAGGTGAGTAGATCAGTGCTCCTGGCAACATTTACCAATGCAGGCAGGTTTTCAAATGCAAATATGAATTTCAAAGCTAATGCATACATGTACATGTAGGTAGGCCTGCAATTACAAGAATAGTAAGATGACCTAAGCATAATTGTGTGATAAATGTAACATCTATTATCAAGTGACAGAATTATTGGTCAGTCTTGTAACCTTGACTCTCTCCATGGGTTGGGCTGCAACTGCAAGTGCAGTACCCTGGACTGGAGTCCTGGACCATGGAATGTATAGCTCATGTCCCACTTGAGATGATCTCTTGATGGGAAAACTGTTGGATACCTGATACGCCTGAACAGCTGAATATCTCTTTTCTCCGTATAATTATATGGGTGTAGTCGGTTCCTCAGTGTTAATCTTAAGCTATATAAGATACCAACAATACAATCATTGAACTAGGGCTAGTAACAGAGTTGTATCATTTTATAAACATCTAAAGCTCCTGAATTGATACACATACATGTACATGAAGGCTGCCCATATCACTGTTGATCATCAAGCTCCTGCTTGGTTTACATAGATTTGCCAATTAATATTCAAGATTGTAAAGATTGATGGACATATTTCGAATCCTCTCAGTGAGTCCCAAACATATTTTTGTTTGGATATCCTTGATCTTGGCAGATAAATAACAGAACTTCAGAAATTCATTCATTTTTGAAAGGCTGTTTGTTTTTGTTCACTCAATGGAGTTACCGTATATGGAGCCTCACATATATTTCCAAAAGAAATAAGGGTATGAGATAAAAGCATGATTAAACATTTACAAAAAACTCTAATCGCTTTCAGTACTTGTACGTGTAGAAATAAAAAATATTGATAAATAATCCAATATAAAACGTTATTGTGCACTGATCTGCTGGTACATTTTTGATACACCACCACCAAACATCAAATAACAAAAGACAAGATGATGACATTAGAAACGTTTGTGGCTTTTGTAATGGACATGCATTCATGCATTTAATAAATTAGTGGTATATACCTGTAAGCAGAGACATGCTTGGTATAGCAAACTATTTGAGAGTACAGCTGTTCTTTTGATCTTGTTACTCATCGTTGATTTTGTGTGATTAGCTAACTCAATAAAATGGTCTACAACGCAATGCATTCAATCAATTGATGATGTTAATAAGCAATTCAGATAAATATAATAAGATACATGTAGATATTGGAAGTGACTAATGTGTATTTTGTCAAAAGTAAATATTGTTTACATTACAGTTGTACATTGTACTGTTGATTACAATAGACTTGTCCCTTAGCAATGGCTTGACACTAGCAGGCACCTGGGAGTCCGGGACACATGGGGGGCGGGGGCCCAAAATCTAGGTCTGGAGTCTGGACCCCAATATGTTGACATTTTTACATAGGGTTCATACATGACTTTTAAAAGTTCAATCCGGACCCCCCTTAAAAAAGAGTCAGTGTAGAGCCCTAGCCTTTGAATTTAATTTGCCAAATAGACAAACAAAGGAATCACAGTCATGAGAGTATTGATTCTTTCTGTTTCTTTTCTCATTATACAGTATATCCAATATTTCAATATTCATGATTGTACTTAATTTTTTTCTTCATTTAGGGGAGTTTACATGTATTTGATTTGCTATGTGTATAATACTTTATGTCATCAGAGATCTTTGGATATCCCTTGAGCTTCATTTTGAACCGTTCTATGTTTTTTTTGTTTTTTTTTATGATTGAAAGAAATTATTCAGGTGTTTTATAGCTGTTGTGATTTTAGAAACTTACATGTAGGTACTACATGTACATGTACATGTATTCACACTATTCTGGAAACCAACCATTGTTTGCATACACTGCATAGCACTTATATTTTTGGGGAAATTATGAATTGTACCCAGTAAATGTATGTTTACTTCAATGAACACCTACTGTATGTACATAATCATATAAGACTCTATCTATAATAGAATCTTGCAATATATATATATATATTGGTGACAAAATGTATAGGAAGGAATGATTGGAAATCAGACTGTAATTCTTTACATGGTACATGGATGTTGAATGAAAATGAGCAATTTTTGATTTTGTGTTGATTTACAAAGCTAAGCATTGTCTGTGTACACACAGACCAAGCAAGCCTAAAATCTTGATCAAACATACTTCATGTCTGAAGTGCAATAGAGAATATAAAAGACAAAACATACATGTACTAGCTTTTTATAATACATGTACATGTAGGATACAGGCTGTGTACGTTATGATTTTGGTAGACCTACATTTGTATGCTGTATGGCTGGGAGTTGAATTAGTTGATAGATGTAATACGTAATGTAATATGATAATAATAGGCATTTCTATAGCGCCGTCAATCTAGAAATTCTATTCCAAGGCGCATTTATTATTACCCCGGCTGTAGGCAGAGCATTATAAATACATATTCATGTACATGTACGTGTGCCTACACTTTCAATTTCTTGAAAAACTATATATATATATATATATATATATATTTTATACATTGCTTTTCTACATGTACATCTATTGATATATTGAGAATGAAAGCCACCTGCTTATGAGTTCTACGGTTCAACATTTGCATGGATACAGCTAGCTTGTGGTTTACATCTATGTACATCTACTGTATGTACATCCATATGCACTTGAAGATGTGAATATTTGATGTAGGCCATGGTAGCTGCACGATGTAATACACATGGAGGCATCATCTACAGGGACACAGGGAGTGACCTCCGAGT